TTCTCCCTCTCTCCTCTCTCCCTCTCTCTCTCTTCCTCTCTCCCTCTCTCTCTCTCTCTCTTCTCTTCCTCTCCCTCTCTCTCCTCTCTCTCTCTCTCTCTCTCTCTCTCTCTTCTCTCCTCCTCTCTCTTCTCTCTCTCTCTCTCTCTCCTCCCTCCCCTCCTCCCCCCTCTTCTTGCTCTCTCTCCCTCCCTCCCTCTGTCTCTCTTCTCTCCCCCCTCTCTTTTCTCTCCTCTTTCTCTTCTCTCTCTTCTCCCTCTCTCGTCTCTCTCTCTCTCTCTTTCTCTTCTCCCCCTCTCTTCTCCCTCTCTCTTCTTCCTCTCTCTTCTCCCTCTTCTTCTCTCTCTCTGTGTTTAATAAATAAAGATGCATTAGTGCAAAGTGCATTTCTCCATCAGAGGCACCGACAGCTGAACGGCTCTTTGTTGTCATAATATTGTAATTAAAAAGTGCAAATTATAACGTAAAGACGGCGACGTGTCGTCTTTAAAAACTGACTTCTTTTGTTTGTTTTGTGCTGTATTATGTTCGTACAAACTAATAATAATGTTTAACGAAGGCGAAAAAGTTTATCGTTTATGATCGAATGAGAATTGTGGTTTATTTTGTGTACACCTGGAGTCGTATTTAGAGCGATTCGTGCATGTTTGCGTCATCTTTAATCACTTATTTTGCATCTTCGCCTCCGTTTTGACACCGACTGTGACGTACTCTACTGTCATTTCATTTTCGGTGATACATGTTCGATTCTGCAGCATCTTTTAGTTACAATTTAGGCGTGAATGAAAGAAAAACTCGCTCGTTTTATGCACAATTATCCATCGGAGGGACCCACAACTCAACGGCGCTTTGTTGTGACGATTTTACGACGATTAAAAAAAGATTAAAACTATAAAACAAACACAAGCACGATATGTCCTCTTTAAAAACTGACTTCTTTTACTGTATTAATGTCATACAAACTAATAATAATGTTAACGAACGCACAGACGTTTATCGTTTACGATCGTACAAAATAAACCATAATAATTTGAGTTCACCTGAAGTTGTATTTATAGTGATTCGTGCAGATTTGATGTTCTTTTATCGCTTATTTTGCAGCACGATCCTTGTTTTCACCTCCGCCGGTTCACGCTCACTGACGTACTCTACCGTCATTTAATTTTCGGTGATACATGTTCGATTCTGCAGCGTTTTTTAGTTACAATTTAGGCGTGAATGAAAAAAAAGTCACGTTTTATGCACAATTACCATCGGAGGGACCCACACTCAACGGCCTTTGTTGGACATTTTACGACGTTAAAAAGATTAAAACTATAAAAACAAACACAAGCACGATATGTCCTCTTTAAAAACTGACTTCTTTTTTGTTTTGTCTGTATTATGTTCGTACAAACTAATAATAATGTTAACGAACGAAAACGTTTATCGTTTATGATCGACATGAAATTGGGTTAATTTGAGTTCACCTGGAGTTGTATCTAGAGCGATTCGTGCATGTTTGCGTCATCTTTAATCACTTATTTTGCATCTTCGCCTCCGTTTTGACACCGACTGTGACGTACTCTACTGTCATTTAATTTTCGGTGATACATGTTCGATTCGGCAGCGTCTTTTAGTTACAATTTAGGTGTGAATGAAAGAAAAAGTCACTCGTTTTATGCACAATTATCCATCGGAGGGACCCACAGCTCAACGGCGCTTTGTTGTGACGATTTTACGACGGTTAAAAAAGATTAAAACTATAAAACAAACACAAGCACGATATGTCCTCTTTAAAAACTGACTTCTTTTTTTTGTTTTGTGCTGTATTATGTTCGTACAAACTAATAATAATGTTTAACGAAGGAACAAAAGTTTATCGTTTATGATCGAATGAGAATTGTGGTTTATTTTGTGTACACCTGGAGTTATATTTAGAGCGATTCGTGCAGTTTGAGTCTTTTAATCACTTATTTTGCATCTTCGCCTCCGTTTTGACACCGACTGACGTACTCTACTGTCATTTAATTTTCGGTGATACATGTTCGATTCTGCAGCGTCTTTTAGTTACAATTTAGGCGTGAATGAAAGAAAAAGTCACTCATTTTATGCACAATTATCCATCGGAGGGACCCACAGCTAAACGGCGCTTTGTTGTGACGATTTTACAATGATTAAAAACTATAAAATACGATATGTCCTCTTTAAAAAACTGACTTCTGTGACTCTCATGCCGCACGTGAGTCTTTTGAACGGCTCCTGGAGATGATCCCAAAGACTCGGCTCGCGTAAAAGAGCCGTGAGCCCCGTTCCCTTCCCTCCCTCCCTCCCTCGCTCTCGGCCGCGTGCCTCTCTGCGCTCGGGCTGCGGAGAGGGGGGCGGAGCCGCGGAGCCGTGACTGTAACGCGATAGCTCGGAGCCCCCTAAAAGCCGCCTCCCCTCGCGCCTCTCTCCACACACTCACGCAGACCGACGCTGGCACAGGACGCACGCGGGCTCCGAGGGGTTTGCACTCCACAGCGCGGACGAAAACCCACGCGACATGAACGCGACACCGCTACGGATCTATGCGTGACTTCTTCCCAAATGGAGACGAGATTTTGACGTTTTTTGTAAGGGGGGACACGTTTGTTTTTTACTCCTGGTTTGGTTTTTTTTTTTGGTTGTTTTTACGTCGGACCTCGCGTGCGTAAAAACGGAGCCGTGGAGTTAACGGAGCGCTTACGGATTCGGACTTAACTCCCCCCAAACTTGTGATCTGGAAGTTTTAATCTCATGACTTTGGGAAAAACAGCGAATTAGCTCAGGTCTTTTTTTTTTTTTTTTTTTTTTTTTTTTTTTGAAGCCGTGCGAAACATCAGCGACGCTTCAATGACTCGGCGTGCACATATTTAATTCCCGATGATCGCGTCTTGGATTATCGCTGAAGCGGCGTAGTTTCCTGAGTGGAATTTTCATTTTATTTTCCAGTTTCCGTGGGGGAATTTTGTGTTCGTGAGGAAGAAAAAGAAAGAGAAAATCGCTTGGGAACTGTTAAAGTTTTTCGCCAGCATGGATTGTGTTTCGTCATTTCTTGGATTTTTGCTGTTACATCTCGCGTTACGAATCAACGGGCAAGACGGTGAGTTTACGTTTTTATGTTTTTACGTTTTTTTGTTTTGTTTTACGCGTGGGGTTAAGTTGCCAAAAAAAACAAACAAAAAAAACAAAACGAAAACAGATCGTTCAAATCGATGCACTCCTCCACGCTCGCTGACCATTGAGCCTAAATTGATACGTCCTGCTTTTACGCACGCTAAGCATCGCTGTCAACTCGCGTGCGTCTCACTCGCGCGGGGGCCATACGGTTGTACGAGCGCGTGCCAACTTAACCAGAGCGCCTTTATTTTTCGCCAAAACGACACCAGTTCGCACCATATGCCACACGACGACGGCCACGACGATGATGATGATGATGTTCGCGAGGAGGAGGAGGTGGTGGAGGAGGAGGACGTGCCGCGGCTTCAATCGCGTTTCCGCTCCGTTGACTCGTAAATGCGGCGTTTTCGAACATCGCCGCCAAATTGCTGTTTCCATGTCGTTTTTTAATGATTCCGAAACGACAATTTGGCACTCGCGAGACTCGAGGGTGGGCTGCAGCACGCGCTTTCACCCGCGTCTCCACAATCCCCCCCTAAAGCCGTGCGTAAAACCTGCACTTAAATCAAGCATCGCGCGTTTACGATCCAAAAGAAATCATGCCTGTTATTATCGTAACGTTCTCCTGCGCGCACGGGTGTCTTCCTCGCTTCCTCCTGTGCGTGTGCGTGCGTGTGCGTGGGTAAAGGAGGAGGAGGAGGGCACCCCGGGTCTTGACATGCCGCACGCCACAGTGAGATGCAGGTTAGGGCGCTTGGACGGAGGCACGGACGCGCAGTTTGTGGCTGGTTTTTTGCGCGTGATTTTTCAACGTTTGCGTGATTAAACGTGCAAATCAGCTCGTTACGATAAAATTGCGCGTTTACGGAATGTCGTGAAGTGGTTTCTTGACTTTTTACGCGTTTGGGCAACATGTTTAAAGTTGGGATGCACGTATTTTTTGACGTTAAGCAAAAAATATGCACAATGTAACGTAACAGAACTAAAAAAATCAATCGACAACATACGTAGTGACATTACGTAAACAGCTAGATTAAGTAATTTGTATTAAAGCGAACCAATTTATTTAAAAAGTGCGTAAAAATAAAGGTGCTTTTCACGTTAACTTGACTGAAAGTTTCATTTAACAAAACTGTTCACGAAAATGAAAGTAAATTCGCGTTAAATCGTAAATAACAGTTTTAATCATTACGTTCAAATTTGGCCTCGTGAGCCAGCATCGCTAATTGAAACACGCGTTACGGTTCTATTTTTAGCACGCCAAAAAATTGTGCGTTATTTCGGCAGCACGGGCGTGTTTTCGGCAGCGTGTTTTGTGGGAAATGCAGTGACGAGACGCGGATGGTGGTCCCGGTTACTCAGCCCGCAGGAACGTCGCTTATCTACGTGCGTGTGCGGATTCGGTGTGTTTACGCGTGTACGTGCCCACCGAAGTTTTGGTCACGAGGTCCATCACGCCAAATTGAGGCATACTTTATACATACATACTGGACGTTTTTAGAAATACTTTTACGTTTATGTTGTGTTTATGCCAAGAAGTTACGTAACGAAGTGAAAGTACTGCACTTATGTCTTAAATACATTGCATAGTGTGTACTTTTTACGTTAACTCTGGACAGGACTGAGAAGTGAAAGTATTTTTATTATATATATTTTTAATACGTACGTAATTTAAGCAACAAAAACGAAAATATAACGATAAAAACGTAATAAAAAATTGTTTCATTTACGTCTGTTGAACAAAATTGAACATATTTCTACATTTTGAAGCTTTTTAAGACCGAAATACTCGTACGTTTTACTCTTAAGTACATTTTTTAAACAGGTACTCGAATACTTAAGTGTATTTTTTCATGTAATATTTTCTTAGACCTGGTTTAGTTCTGGCTGAGTCCTGGTCCAGCCCTGGTTTAGTCCTGTTTCAATCCTGATTTAGTCTTTCTTTAGTCATGGTTTAGTCCTGGTTCTTCAGTCATGGTTTAGTCCTGCTTTAGTCCTGGTTCAGACCTGCTTTAGTCCTGGTTTAGTCCTGGTTTAGATCTGGTTTAGTCCTGGTTCAGACCTTGTTTAGTCCTGGTTTAGTCCTGGTTCAGTCTTGATTCAGTCTTGGTTTAATCCTGGTTTAGTCCTGTTTTAGTCCTTGTTTTAGTCCGGGTATAGTCCTGTTTTTGTCCTGGTTTAGTTCTGGTATAGTCCTGGTTTAGTCTTAATTTTAGTCCTGTTTTAGTCCTGGTTCAGTCCTGGTTTTAATCCTTGTTTTAGTCCTTGTTTAGTCCTGGTTTAGTCCTGGTTTAGTCCTGGTTCAGTCCTGGTTTTAATCCTTGTTTTAGTCCTTGTTTAGTCCTTGTTTTAGTCCTGGTTAGTCCTGGTTTAGTTTTTAGTCCTGGTTTAGTCCTGGTTTAGTCCTGGTTTAGTCCTGTTTAGTCCTGGTTTAGTCCTGGTTCAGTCCTGGTTTTAATCCTTGTTTTAGTCCTGGTTTAGTCCTGGTTTAGTCCTGGTTCAGTCCTGGTTTAGACCTGGTTCAGTCCTGGTTTAGTCCTGGTTCAGTCCTGGTTTAATCCAAGTATATCTGTACTTTTTACTCCATGATACTTTTGAACAGGACTGAAAAGTAAAAGTATTTTTGTTGTAGTTTGAGACCTGCTGAAAAGAGTTTATTTTTAACACGTCAGTAATTTGAGAAAAACAGAAACGTACAAAAGTAAAAACAGCTGGAAAAAACTGTTGAACAAAATTGAACAAATCTGTATATTTGAACTTTTATAAAACCAAAACACTTGTACTTTTTTATTCTAAGTACATTTTTTAAACAGGTACTCGAATACTTAAGAGTATTTTTTCATATAATATTTTCTTAGTCCTGGTTCAGTCCTGAGTCCTGGTTTAGTCCTGGTTTAGTCCTTTTTTTGGTTTTAGTCCTGTTTTAGTCCTGTTTTAGTCCTGGTTAGTCCTTTAGTCCTGGTTTTAGTTCTAAATTTTTCTTATGATAGACCTTGTTTTTCTTTGCTTGTTGCCCGGTGTTTTTGTTTTATTTCATCTGGTTTAGTCCCTGTTTTACTTCCTGCTTTAGTCCTGGTTTAGTCCTGGTTTAGTCCTGTTTTAGTCCTGGTTTAGTCCTGGTTTAGTCTGTCCTGATTTACTTCCTGCTTTAGTCCCGGTTCAGTCCTGGTTTAGTCCTGGTTTAGTCCTGGTTTATTAGTCCTGGTTTAGTCCCTGTTATCCTGTTTTTCTGTTTAGTCTGGTTTAGTCCTGTTTAGTCCTGGTTTAGTCCTGTTTAGTCCTGTTTTAGTCCTGGTTTAGTCCTGGTTTAGTCCCTGGTTTAAGTCCTGGTTTAGTCCTGTTTTAGTCCTGTTTCCTGGTTTAGTCCTGGTTTAGTCCTGGTTTAGTCCTGGTTTAGTCCTGGTTTAGTCCTGTTTTAGTCCTGGTTTAGTCCTGGTTTAGTCCTGTTTATAGTCCTGTTTTAGTCCTGTTTTAGTCCTGGTTTAGTCCTGTTTTAGTCCTCCTGTTTTAGTCCTGGTTTTAGTCCTGGTTTAGTCCTGGTTTAGTTTAGTCCTGTTTAGTCCTGGTTTAGTCCTGGTTTAGTCCTGTTTTCCTAGTCCTGGTTTAGTCCTGTTTAGTCCCTGGTTTAGTCCTGGTTCAGTCCTGGTTTAGTCCTGTTTTAGTCCTGGTTTAGTCCTGGTTTAGTCCTGGTTTAGTCCTGTTTAGTCCTGTTTTAGTCCTGGTTTAGTCCTGGTTTAGTCCTGGTTTAGTCCTGGTTTAGTCCTGGTTTAGTCCTGTTTTAGTCCTGTTTAGTCCTGGTTTAGTCCTGGTTTAGTCCTGGTTTAGTCCTGGTTTAGTCCTGGTTTAGTCCTGGTTTTTTAGTCCTGGTTTAGTCCTGGTTTAGTCCTGGTTTAGTCCTGTTTAGTCCTGGTTTAGTCCTGTTTAGTCCTGGTTTAGTCCTGGTTTAGTGTCCTGGTTTCCTGTTTAGTCCTGTTTTAGTCCTGGTTTAGTCCTGGTTTGTCCTGGTTTAGTCCTGGTTTAGTCCTGGTTTAGTCCTGGTTTAGTTCTTCTTCTTTCTCGTGTTGTTTCCAGGTGTATTTTTTTTGACTCTGGTTTTTCTTTTCTTAAATTCTGGATTCAGATCTGAAGATTTTCTCTCTTTTCTCTGATTCACCCTGGAAATGTTTGGAGAAACTGTCTGCGTCTGATTATTCTGACGTTTGATTAAAGTAGATAAAGGTCACCTGTTTGTCGTTTCCATGGAGACGTCACCGCTGTGTCTGGAATGTTCCGCAGTGTGACTTTAAACACATCTGCTTTACATTTATTCAGTTACAGGTGGATTTAGATTCTGACTGTTCTCTCTCTCTCTCCTCCTTCCCTCTCTTCTCTCCTCTCTTTCGCTCCTTCTCTCTCTCTCCTCTCCTCTCTCTCTCTCTCTTCTCTCTCCTTCCTCTCCTCTTCCTCTCTCTCTCCTCTCTTCCTCTTCTCTTCGCTCCTTCTCTCTCTCTCTCCTCGTTCTCTCTCTCTCCTCTCCTCCTTCCTCTCTCTCCTTCTCTCTCCTCTCTCTCTCTCTCTTCTCTCTCTCTCCTCCTCTCCTCTCTCTCTCTCTCTCTCTCCTCCTCTCTCTCCTCTTCCTCTCTCTCCTCTCTTCTCTCTCTCTCTCCTTCTCTCCCTCTCTCCTCGCTCCTTCTCTCTCTCTTATCTCCTCGTTCTCTCTCTCTCCTCTCCTTCTTTCCTCTCCTCCTTCTCTCTCCTCTCCTCTCTCCTTCTCTCCTCCTTCCCTCTCTTCTCTCCTCTCTTTCGCTCCTCCTCTCTTCTCTCCTCTCCTTCGCTCCTTCTCTCTCTCTTATCTCCTCGTTCTCTCTCTCTCCTCTCCTTTCCTCTCCTCCTTCTCTCTCCTCTCCTTCACTCCTCCTTCCTTCTCTTCTCTCCTCTCTTTCGCTCCTCCTCTCTTCTCTCCTCTCCTCGTTCCCTCTCTCCTCTCCTCCTCTTCTCTCCTCT